GGATCCCTATCAAATTCACGCAGAATCATACGGGTAAATCTGCGCTGACGAACATTTATGTTTTGATCCCTTTGGAGATTTCCAAAACCATTTTCAATTATTTGGCGATGCACTCTTACAAATACTGAGCGAGTTGGATGACGTCGGTTTGGAAATCTTCGTACGTATTCTCTGGCTGCTTCTGCTGCGTTTCCATTTACAAAGTCATACACAAAATGAATATCCGCTAACTCTTGATTGGAGAATAAAAGTGGCATTTTTAAAAAACTTACAAAAAAAACAGGTAAAAGAAACTAAATTTCGTGCATTCACAATTGCAAAAAAACGTTTCAGGTTTCAACAGACAACAAAACTAACTGTTAACTAATTGACGTTTAACCTTATTCTGCTTTCAATTTCAAAAATATTTGCAGGCACAGCCTACTTCTAAAAATTATCGAGTTACTGACTTTTTAACGTTATTTTATCATAAATCGAACCTTAAAAATCGAAATATCTCAAAAACGGCTAACTATAACGAAAACTCACAAGAGAGCTTTTTTATGTTGAAAAGTGCGAAGAATCAGCATTTTTATTCAAAAAGCAAAAAATTGCACTAAGAAAATTTTTTCGGTCATTTCAATACACTACAGGTCCAGTAGAGAGCGCCCTCTAGCGGCTACAGTAAAACTATGCCCATAGTTCGTTTTGTCGTACCAAAAAACCCTTGTATACCAATTTTCACTGTTATACATCAAATATTGTTCGAAATATTAAAAAAAAACTATTTTAGAAAGTAAATTTAAACACCCTGTATTTCGGAAGCCACGCATTTTTCGACCCATGTTTATATAGACTTTATGCATTACTTTTAAAAGTTCTATCGAATCTTAAAGTTATGCAACAATAAACTGAAACACCCTGTATATGCATATTTATTTTCAATAAACTGTAATACTTTATACGTAAATAAACTTATATTATTATTATCATTATTATATTCATTAGATCCATTACTTGAAGTACGCCTTCTTATTGGTTGAATTTATGCCTATTTGTCATACGTACCATTCGCTGAATACGAGTAAATGCTTTGTATATAATTTTGTAGTACTAGTAGTAGTATATCGAACCTAGTTATGTATCCATCAGTCTACGTGGCAACCATGTAAAGAAGACCGTAGCGTTACTAACGGCGATTAAACATACTATCGCAACCGAGAGATCGATATGAGGTAGAAGAATGAAGGTGGGGGGTTTGACATGAGCATCTCCAAGGGAGGCTGTGGACGCTGGAGCTATCAAACAAAATACTTGTCATGCCGGCCGATGCCGGTAAGCTGTATTTCAATTGTTTTGATAATTTAAATGTATTTTCTAGACAACTCACAAGCCTAATGTCAATGATAGTGTTTCTGGAGGACAAACAACAAGTTCATCCACATATTTGCGACTCTGAACCGTTCTTTTGTTTCTGTTCTAAAATGTCATGGCATGCCGGAGTTTATTAATACGGTAATTCATAATTTTGCACTCTTACAAGCGGTAAAAACTCGGTATTTCTCGAATTATTCGTATTCCAAAGCCAACTGAGTTAAATCGTCACGTATGTTTGAAGTATGTCTTTTTCATATATCAGGCTAATAATATATAATAAAGCGTAAAAATTGATTTCCAAGTAAAACATCTTGGAATCGTATCATATTGATACAATATACAGGGTGGCGCATCGAAAACGAAACAGACGCATTTACTGGCAGATCAGTTTTTTTTTTTGAAAAACGATCAGACCCGTTTTTTTGTTTTCCAGGGGGACACAAGTTTGGTAAAAAATCACGTTAGCACGTGCAGCCCCCTAAGCGGGGTTGACACCACCCCCAAAATCTTAAATGGAAAGGGGGTCGAGTGATACCTCATTTTAAAGGCCTTTCAATTCCCTTTATAATGATATAAAATTAATGTACCTCAGTTCAGTAGTTTTGAAGATTTGTTGATTTAAAGCTTAAATAAAACTAATACATCATCATTAGTGGAGATCAATACATTTGGCAGAAAAGTAATTTAAAAATGAAGAATGAACTGACCCGTTAGGCAAGTAAATGCTAAAAATGACTCTCTATGCAATAATAAAGATTTTGCTCAACACGTTGCCGCACATTTTCCAAAAAAAAATGAGTTTCGTTTTCGATGCGCCACCCTGTATATAACTATTTATGGCTTGAAGTTTTCTTTTTATCCAGTAGTACTTGAAAATGTAATTCTAGCATATTTTTTATTGTATCTCCATAAAAAATAAAGATACTGATTTGCCGTTTTCTCCGTTTTATAGGAGTTTTCATGCTCTTGACGAGCAATATTAAAAAAGTATACCGTTGTACTTGGAATTTTCCAACAGATTCAAAGGAACAGTGACACATCCATAAAACGCTAACTAGTGGCCAGAAAGTGAACTAATTTGACAAGATTGAGCATTGAGCAAGAGCGCAGGCGCAAGCTCTCGCGATTGAAACTCAGATAATGGAAATCGGTGCATCCAAACAAAAGCTAAATTCCTTTTTCTCAACAGACATTCAAGCCTTCCCTCACCGTAAATGAAAGAAAATATCGAAAAATGACATTGAGAAAAAAGTTCGAAAATCGAGCAAAAAACATAATAGAGTTATTTTGAATTTTTGAATTTTTAAATACGTCCCCTAGCGGCCATTTTGAGAAGCTGACAGTAATTTTAAGCAATTTCCCTTGGCCACATGTTTGATGAAATTTTTTAACGGATCGCTTCAAGCCGGCATTCTTTATTATTGGGTCACTCGGTGCTTAATATACTAAGTTACATATACATCCGAATACCCAGTTTAAATGGTTTTATTTTAATAAAATTTTGTATAAGTACTTAATGAAGCATAATAAGTAAATGATAAAAATTTCAAAATGATTGCACTGCTTTAAAGCCCTTTGTCCTTTAATAATGTGTGGATGCACCCTGATGTGCTGCGCATTCTCCAACGCGCCTAGGCATGCTTCTGATCAGGTGGTCAATGTCCTCCTGTGGTATCTCATTCCAGGCAACCACCAACTCCTCTCGAAGTGCTTCTAGAGTCTGAGGAGGACGTTGCAAATTGAGCAATCTCCTACCCATCATATCCCACACGTGCTCAATTGGGGATAAGTCGGGAGATCTTGGTGGCCATGGTAACAATGTGACATCATTATGTTGAAAGAAGTCTATTGTGACTGTTGCAACATGTGGTCGGGCATTATCTTGTTGGAAAGTTGGATCTGCCAGGGTGTCAAGATAGGATAAAATATGGGGTTCTAGAACTTCGTGGATATAACGCTGCGCGTTCATGTTACCTCTGATGAAGATTAAAGGTGACCTGGAACCATAAGCTATAGCATCCCAAACCATAACTCCAACAGTGTGATGAACATGTCCTTCAACAAAAAACTGTGGATTCCTCCTTTCACCACGTCGCCTTCTAACCCTGGCACGACCATCGTGCAAGCCTAAACAAAATCGAGACTCGTCACTAAAGACAATACTGTTCCATTCCTGATCCCAGAGTGACCGTTGTCTGCACCACTCAAGGCGATTACGTCGGTGTTCTCGAGTTAAAGGGAGGACCCAGTGTGACCGGTATGAAAACAAGCCAAAACTTCTCATTCGTCGGTAAACACTTCGCATGCCAATGGGTCTTCCGTGTTCTGCAAACCATCCATTTGCAATGGACCTGGTAGTGGAGAAACGGTCCCTTAAGGCCAATAATCTTAGGCGGCGATCTTCACGGTCTGTTGTTCCACGGCGGCGTCCAGTGCCCCTTGCTCTTTGCGTACGGCCTTCTCGAAGCCATGCCTGACAACACCTAACCACAGTGTCTACACTTCTTTGCACTCTGACTGCAATTGCCCGAAAAGAAAGTCCAGCGTCCCGAAGTCCCACTATACGGCCCCTATCAAACTCACTAAGTTGACGAAATCGTACAGGTCTCCGTACTCTACCAACCAAAATCCGCCAACGTTGATTCTTTACTGCGGCTGAAATATTCATTTTTAGAGCGTTAGTGAATTAAAAAAAAAGCGGTATAAAAACCGGAATGTCCAACTGATAAGGCTGAAAATTTTTTCACTTGTTATTTACAGTAAGATAAATACATTCACCAACATTTATTAAAATAAAACCAGTTCGGATTTATATGTCACTTAGTATACTTCATTATACCTTTCTCTAGGTCTTGAAGGTCATACCCTGAGCACCTAGTATCATCTCAACGGGCATAGAAAGGTTATGATGAGGCATATAAAACTAAGCTTCGATTTTCTAATGTGATCGTCTGCCTGTTTACGAGTGAAGTAGGACTATACGCAAAAAAATTGCAAACAAAGGGAAGCGATTTTTATTCAACGAAAATGTCACTCGTCAATGCTTGAAATATGACTATCTCCTTCTGAGTTCATTGTTGATTGATATTTTCGCTTACCTTATCCTCAATGTGCGTGCAGATTTATGTATGTTGATAAATTGGTGCATAAATGATATAATAATTAGAATGATACATCAAATCAACGTCTGGTCTTCGAATGTTTTTTGAGATTCTTAGGAATTCTGGGACTAGTCATTTCTGAGAGCTCTTTTAATTGCAAGTGGGTTGGGGCTTAGTTTCACTCAGTCACACGGCTTTTAGGAATAGTCACGTCTACCTATTTTACTAACTACTTCAGACGAATTCATTAACAGTGGCCTAACATATTAAGAAACTGTATGCTATGTCTTACCTCCTACTTTTTGGACCACATTCCTTCTTCCCATTTAGATTTACACGAAGATGCACAACAATTTTGAAAAGAGCTCGAAAACGTCACTACTGTCAATATTTATACAGAATGAGATGCTTTTCGATCAAAGATATTTTTTTTTTTAATATTACCTTATGTTTTATCAAGTCTCGATATTCTTCTGCAGCTGATGCTCGTTTTTTTGTGGTAGGGGGGCGATGGCAAATGAGTTTTAAAAAAGAGTCGTAGATATTAAACATTTTTATTGATTGTTTTATGCTTATAAACACAATACATGCTTAGAGCTATCTATTACATGCATCTTTTTTGTCCGCTAATTTTCATGATGATGTCAAGCTGAGTTAGCTCGAAAAAATCGTAAAAGATTAAATTCTATCAAAAAGAGCTGTGGCAGTGGTATAGTTTATTTAGAAGTGCCGTAAAACCTACCTTTTGAAATTATTTCTTTCATCCAGAAGCATTTTAGCAGATGACAATCTTTCATAAAACTTTTCGGAAGAAAACAGAAACATGTCTAGTCATATTCATTCTGCGTTTGACAGAATGCATGAACAGGCCTTTGTTAAACGCACAATATGTGAATAAAAAGTTGCCTAACTTGCTATGAAACGCTTGGTCACAAAAACTGTTTCTAAAATCAGATTTCTGCTTTGTGCCTATACCCTGTTCGCAGTCGATTCTAAGACCATTGAGGAAAGTACGGACCTGTACAATCTCGCTTTTGGGCGTGTCGTGTTTTGTCTGGGCGTAAATGGTCTACGAATGGGGTATAGCGATGCGTGTTTTGTGCGTTTACGTAAAGGCTTGATTCTTCTGGCTTTACTTATGTTAGTAACTGTTCTATTACAGTACTAAACTTTTTGAAAGCCTTGATCGTATCTGCGCAGTTACGTGCAACAATAACAAATGTGGGTGGTATTGTTTTGAACTATATGGTTTCAATTCGCCATTGCTATTTCTTTATCCACATAAAAATAGCCAGCACCCAGAATTAAAAAATGTTTCGTGATCAGGTTAGGATTATTGTGCTTTCACGTTTTTGTTTAGTTATAAAACGCCGGAATGTATTTATTCCTTCTAAAATTGTAATATTCATATAATCGTGTTCATGATAATTGACATTTCAATACCCTAATTACAAATTATAATAACAATAAAAACAAATAAAATAAACAAAAAATATATATAACAAAAAATAAACAACATTATTCATGAAATCATCTCACTTAATGTAAGGAAGAGCGTGATTTTCCATGATTTTTATTGTATTTTGAATACGCTATACATCGCTTTTCCGACGATCATTATATATTTTTATAAATATTATAGAAAAGGAAATCCAAATTGAATACTTGTAGTAGATTTTGCAAAAATTTGAAAAATGTTGTATAACGTAAAATGTAAACACATGGAATAAAATGTAATATACATAATTTTATATACAAAAGTGTCGCTTTATAGGTACTTTTTATCATCTAGATTCTGAACACCGTTGTGGGATTGTAGCAAGACTGGAGATACCTTATCGATGTAGGTGTTGCCTTGGCCACAACCCACGTCCATTCCAAAGAAGACTTGAGTGCCCTGGAAAAAACATTTGATAAAAATCAGTATACCGCAGAAAATGCAAGAAATAATAGAAATCACTGAATATTTTACAAAGTTTACGTATGTCAAAATGAAGGTAGTTTTATGTTACTTATATGATACTATCGGTGTCACTGATTATTAAACTACAACTTTTAAAAACTCGTTCTTTGCAACAAAAATATTTTCTTCGTAATTACTCTAACGCAAAAATATCACTACCGATGAATAGACTGGACAACAAATTTTAGTTTTTTAATTGTATCTTGTGGGAAAAGTGCACTTCTTTGATAATTTTGGGGCGCTGAATCCAAAAATGACAATGAAATAAAAAAATTAGTTGCGGCTTAGAAAAAAAACTTTTTATTTTTAAGGATATATTAAAAAAAGTAACAAGATTCATATACTTATAAGAATCACTATATTTGCTGTTCTTTTATGGATCGTTTCTGGAGCATCTCTACCAAGAGTCCAACAGTAGTCTGCAAGCATGGAAGGATTCCACTTTCCCTGGTACCTTTTTTCCATTGTTGAAATATTCTGATGAAAACGTTCGCCGTGCTCATCACTTACGGCTCCGCAATTGTCAGGAAAAAAGTCCAGGTGTGAGTGTAGGAAATGTATCTTAAGAGACATATTACAGCCCATCTTTTGATACGATGACAGCATATTTTTGACAAGGGTTTAATAGTTGTCAGCTTTTCTATTTCCCAAGAAATTAGTGACCACCAGACGGAAATCATTCCAAGCAGTTTTTTCAATACCTGTTAAAGTGTTTTCAAACTGTGTATCTTTCAAAATATTTCGAATCTGTGGCCCAACAAAAATACCTTCTTTAACCTTTGCCTCACTTAGTCTTGGAAATTTCTGACGCAGGTATTGAAAAGCTGACCCATCTCTATCTAATGCCTTGACAAAGTTTTTCATTAGGCCCAACTTGATATGCAGTGGTGGTAATAAAATTTTTTTCGAATCTACTAATGGCATATGCTGTACATTTTTTTGACCTGGCTCTAGGAATTGACGAACAGGCCAGTTTTGTCTGGTGTAATGAAGTGCCTTTGCCCGACTGTCCCATTCACACAAAAAACAGCAAAACTTTGTGTAGCCTAGCTGCAGCCCAAGTAAAAGTGCAACAACTTTCAAATCGCCACAAATATGCCATTGGTGCTCATCGTATTTTATGCATGTCAATAGGTACTTCATATTGTCATATGATTCTTCCATGTGAACTGCATACCCTACAGGAAGAGATGGTAAAATATTTCCAATATGCAATAACACTGCCTTTAAACTCAATGTTGAACTGTCTATAAACAATCTCCATTCTTCTGGGTTATAGTTTATATTTAAAGCCGCCTGTAAGCCGTTAATGTTACTGCAGAAAACGAAGTTATTCTCCATATTGAAAAATGGTTCTAAGTCTTTGTGGCGTTTACGAAAAACACATACCGAAACATCGTCTTCTAACAAGTTCCACTGCTGCAGTCTTGATCCAAGTAACTCTGCCTTACATTTTGGAAGTTCTAAATCTCTTACAAGATCATTTAATTCTGACTGTGTTATTTTGTGCGGTTGGTGGCATGACGTGCTCGGTATAAAATCAGGATCTCTTGACGTTGATGGCATATCTTCTTCCTGACGAATCACTCGATCGCCATGATCTGATTCGTTTTCTGAATCGCAAGTGTAGGATTCTGGTGGTTTTGGAATAGGATTTTCGTCACTGTGAGGCACAGGTCTCATCGCAGATGGTATGTTTGGGTAGTTAATAACCGATTTTTTTTTCTTGGACATACCTGTGGCTTGTCCAACACAAGGTACCATGCAAAAGTAACAATCATTAATATGATTTGTAGGCTCTCTCCAAACCATTGGAACAGCAAAGCGCATAGCCCGTTTTTTGCCATTTAACCAGCTCCTCAGACTTGAAGCACATGTATTACAGCAGATGTGGGGTGCCCACTGTTTGTCTTGATCACCTAGTTTACAACCGAAATAAAGCTGATACGCCTTTGTTATTAGTGGAGTAATAGACCGTCTCTGAGCCGTAAAAGTCACATCACCACACACGTAACAAAACTGATCTGGATTGTTTACACACTTTCGAGACATCTTGCATGAACGCTGTCAGCCAACTGAGGAAAAAATGGCTAATATAAAACAATATAACGTACACGTATGTATAACGTAACACAATCATGCCGATTACATCATATTTCCTTGCCGAATATAAAAATGTAGTACGTGCATTCTTGTGAATTACAGTATATTAACACTGTCACAGCAGGAACACATATAATTACCGTATCTCTAAAACTTGAACTAATATTGAAAAAATAAGTTTCATTCCGGTTTTAGCACATTAAAAATAGTAATATTTTGTTGATTTTATTTAGGATATTTTTTGGCTGTTGATCAGTGGAATTATTTGGACAAGTAAGAAATATAAACTTACCTTTTCCATGTATGCCTTGACATAGAAGTTGCCAAAGAGAACAATGAAGGATAGCATGTATATGATTAGAGTGTAGTGCATCCACAAGGGGAAGTCGCAACCAGTTCTGATTCCATTCATACCCAGGATCAAGGCACATGTGAACTGAATCTAAAAAAAAAACAATCAAAATCACATACTGTCCTTTAACCACAAGCAAAAAGTGTGAGGTGACTCTTTTGTTTGTATACTTACTAATTGAAGTATCGTGAGATATTTCTTCCACCAAAGGTACTGTGTCACTTTCGGTCCGAATACTGACAGCCCATAGTAAGCATACATCAGCACATGGATTCCTGCATTCACCATAGCTGGCAAAAATGCTGCAAATAAATAACACATTAAAATTAAACGTAATGAGAAATTTCATCAAGATTATAAAACAACCTTAATTCAATATTAAATATACATTCTGGATTTTTTCCATTCCACTAACAACGAAATACTGGATGGCTAATATATAATTGATTGACTGACAAAGGGTCCGGATTGTTAAAATTCGAAAGCTACGACAACATATCGGTCGAAATAATGTGCCCACTGTCAACACCATTCGTCAGTTGGTGCCGAAATTTGAACAAACATGAGAGGTTAAAGACTTGCCAAGGTCGCGACGTGTTCGAACTGTTCGTACTCCGGAAAAAATCGAGAGAATTAGTGAAAGTGTAGTGGAGCGCCCTGACACGTCTACCAGACATCGTTCTCAAGAACTGGGATGTTGTGCACTATTTTAATATAAGACTTGCATTTGCAGCCATATCGAGCGTTACCGTGATATTGTGCAAGACTTTCCAGCTCCTCAAATCCAACAATTTAACCTGCAAGACATGTGGTTCCAGCAGGATGAAGCAACTTGTCACGCAGCTAGCGAAACAATGAATCTTTTGCGAACAATATTTCCGAGACGTTAAATTTCTCGATTTGGTGATGTCAACTGGCCACCAAGGTCACCGGATTTAACGGCTCCTGACTTTTTTATGGGGATTTTTGAAAATTCCAACAAACAAAATACTGTAGAGGAGCTGAAGAACAATATTACGGAAGCGATTGAAAATATTCCTCCCGAAACCTACCAAAAAATGTAATCAAGTGGTGGACATTTGTCTGATACTATTTTTCATACATAATTTCTAAGTTTCAGTAAAATATTATGATGGAAAAAATTGACGTATTTTATTTCATTTCACGAATATTCAAGAAACAAACCAGTTAGATGCATATCGGCCATCCTGTATTTTTGTGGCTTATAGGCAATTTAAAATATTATTTAGTCAGTGGCGATAATAACGGTGGACTGAACGAATATCATGGAGTTCTATTTTCAATGTGTGTTTTGCTAACTCATAATAAATTTATAACAATGTATAAATATACTCATTCTAGAATCTACAAGCTGTAAGCAATCTATACTAAGTGACATATAAATCCGAACACCCAGTTTAAATGGTTTTATTTTAATAAATGTTGGTGAATGTATTTATCTTACTGTAAATAACAAGTGAAAAAATTTTCAGCCTTATCAGTTGGACATTCCGGTTTTTATACTGCTTTTTTTTAATTCACTATCGCTCTAAAAATGAATATTTCAGCCGCAGTAAAGAATCAACGTTGGCGGATTTTGGTTCTTGACATCCTTTACGATCGGTTACGATGCCTAGAGTACGGAGACCTGTACGATTTCGTCAACTTGGTGAGTTTGATAGGGGCCGTATAGTGGGACTTCGGGAAGCTGGACTTTCTTTTCGGACAATTGCAGTTAGAGTGCAAAGAAGTGTAGACACTGTGGTTAGGTATTGTCAGGAATGGCTTCGAGAAGGCCGTACGCAAAGAGCAAGGGGCACTGGACGCCGCCGTAGAACAACAGACCGTGAAGATCGCCGCCTAAGATTATTGGCCTTAAGGAACCGTTTCTCCACTACCAGGTCCATTCCAAATGAATGGTTTGCAGAACACGGAAGACCTATTGGCATGCGAAGTGTTTACCGACGAATGAGAAGTTTTGGCTTGTTTTCATACCGGCCACACTGGGTCCTCCCTTTAACTCGAGAACACCGACGTAATCGCCTTGAGTGGTGCAGACAACGGTCACTCTGGGATCAGGAATGGAACAGTATTGTCTTTAGTGACGAGTCTCGATTTTGTTTAGGCATGCACGATGGTCGTGCCAGGGTTAGAAGGCGACGTGGTGAAAGGAGGAATCCACAGTTTTTTGTTGAAAGACATGTTCATCACACTGTTGGAGTTATGGTTTGGGATGCTATAGCTTATGGTTCCAGGTCACCTTTAATCTTCATCAGAGGTAACATGAACGCGCAGCGTTATATCCACGAAGTTCTAGAACCCCATCTTTTACCCTATCTTGACACCCTGGCAGATCCAACTTTCCAACAAGATAATGCCCGACCACATATTGCAAGAGTCACAATAGACTTTTTTCAACATAATGATGTCACATTGTTACCATGGCCACCAATTGAGCACGTGTGGGATATGATGGGTAGGAGATTGCTCAATTTGCAACGTCCTCCTCAGACTCTAGAAGCACTTCGAGAGGAGTTGGCGGTTGCCTGGAATCAGATACCACAGGAGGACATTGATCACCTGATCAGAAGCATGCCTAGGCGCGTTGGAGAATGCGTAGCACATCAGGGTGCATCCACACATTATTAAAGGTCAAAGGCCTTAAGGCAGTGCAGTCATTTTGAAATTTTTATCATTTACTTATTATGCTTCATTAAGTACTTATACAAAATTTTATTAAAATAAAACCATTTAAACTGGGTGTTCGGATTTATATGTCACTTAGTATAGTTAGATAAGAAATAAATATACTGATTCTAGAATCTACAAGCTGTAAGCAATCTATAAGAATAAGTTTAAGTTTTATAAGCATATTCTGCAGGAAGGTGCTCAATCTTATGGTTAATTGAACATTGAGATACAATTTGTATTGAATGTATTAAACAGGGTGAACAATAGACGGAGATATTTTAAAGAGTGATTCCTTGTTATTAATATTTTAAAATATTTTTAATCAATTCTGTTGAAATTTGAACACGCAAATATCAAAACTCCATGCAAGAATGATTTTTTGTTTTCCAAGGCGCTTGTGATCTTAGCGAAAATTAATAAACCAATTTAGTCCAGTGACATGCAATAAAACGGTCTTTATTTTATTTTTCTCAAAAACGAAGTGACATACGAAAAAATATAACTAGCAAAGAAGCTGCATTTTTAGATGCTGAAACAAACAACAAATATTAAAGTTACGAAAAAGGCAGTGGCGTACATTTTTTGCTAATAATATTCGCTAAGGTACCCCCTGGACGGCACTGGACCTAATAATTCCAATCTCTTAAGGGCTAAATTAGCATCTAAATACAACAAATGGTATTCCAAAATTTCTACAAAATCGAGTGAATACTTTTTAAGGTATTAAAAAAATATATATTTGTTTTTAATTTATCACCCTGTATCTTAAAAACTCTGCTTTTCCGGACCTATGTTTATAAAAACTGTTTCACATATTTTTTGACAAGGAATGGCACTTCTAAATATCTCCGTCTATTTTTAGAACACATATATTCTTGTGGAATCAATGTTGTAAGATATACTAAGTGACATAAATCCGAACACCCAGTTTAAATGGTTTTATTTTAATAAAAGTTGGTGAATGTATTTATCTTACTGTAAATAACAAGTGAAAAAATTTTCAGCCTTATCAGTTGGACATTCCGGTTTTTAAACTGCTTTTTTTTAATTCACTAACGCTCTAAAAATGAATATTTCAGCCGCAGTAAAGAATCAACGTTGGCGGATTTTGGTTCTTGACATCCTTTACGATCGGTTACGATGCCTAGAGTACGGAGACCTGTACGATTTCGTCAACTTAGTGAGTTTGATAGGGGCCGTATAGTGGGACTTCGGGAAGCTGGACTTTCTTTTCGGGCAATTGCAGTTAGAGTGCAAAGAAGTGTAGACAGTGTGGTTAGGTGTTGTCAGGCATGGCTTCGAGAAGGCCGTACGCAAAGAGCAAGGGGAACTGGACGCCGCCGTAGAACAACATACCGTGAAGATCGCCGCCTAAGATTATTGGCGTTAAGGGACCGTTTCTCCAGTACCAGGTCCATTGCAAATGAATGGTTTGCAGAACACGGAAGACCTATTGGCATGCGAAGTGTTTCCCGACGAATGAGAAGTTTTGGCTTGTTTTCATACCGGCTACACTGGGTCCTCCCTTTAATTCGAGAACGCCGACGTAATCGCCTTGAGTGGTGCAGACAACGGTCACTCTGGGATCAGGAATGGAACAGTATTGTCTTTAGTGACAAGTCTCGATTTTGTTTAGGCATGCACGATGGTCGTGCCAGGGTTAGAAGGCGACGTGGTGAAAGGAGGAATCCACAGTTTTTTGTTGAAAGACATGTTCATCACACTGTTGGAGTTATGGTATGGGGTGCTATAGCTTATGGTTCCAGGTCACCTTTAATCTTCATCAGAGGTAACATGAACGCGCAGCGTTATATCCACGAAGTTCTAGAACCCCATCTTTTACCCTATCTTGACACCCTGGCAGATCCAACTTTCCAACAAGATAATGCTCGACCACATGTTGCAAGAGTCACAATAGACTTCTTTCAACATAATGATGTCACATTGTTACCATGGCCACCAAGATCTCCCGACTTATCCCCAATTGAGCACGTGTGGGATATGATGGGTAGGAGATTCCTCAATTTGCAACGTCCTCCTCAGACTCTAGAAGCACTTCGAGAAGAGTTGGTGGTTGCCTGGAATGAGATACCACAGGAGGACATTGACCACCTGATCAGAAGCATGCCTAGGCGCGTTGGAGAATGCGTAGCACATCAGGGTGCATCCACACATTATTAAAGGTCAAAGGGCTTTAAAGCAGTGCAACCATTTTGAAATTTTTATCATTTACTTATTATGCTTCATTAAGTACTTATACAAAATTTTATTAAAATAAAACCATTTAAACTGGGTGTTCGGATTTATATGTCACTTAGTATATTTCGATCCACTGGAAATGAACTGGAATTTGGTATATGGATTTACCTGAGTATTGTCCACATTCAAAAGTCTTTACTTAAACTTAACGTGCACCAGTGACGGAGATACAGGCGATTAGTGTCATTATTTTCCCAAATAACAATAGTACGACACTGTTTTTTCGGAAATGCGCAATTTTGCTACAAATACTTACTCTTGTGTTTTTTCCTAGAGTGAACTGGTTTCGTAAAAATGAAAATAAAACAAATTAGATCATTCATGAAGACATACAATCAGTTTCAAAATAAAAAAGAGGCGTTGATACCAACTTGACGTTTATTGGGAGATAGTTTTTCAAAGTTATGTGTTATACGGTTGTTATCGTTACTACTACCATTTTTTTTTGTAAAAGCCAAATCAAAAGTTTATTTTTTCCATTTTTAGGTGTTGTGAAATGGAATTTAGCAATGATGAGTACGTAGATTTCCTAACAGACGTCAACCTACCACAAAGGCTGTTACGAATTTGTTTTTTCTTATTACTACGAAAACAATGCACTCTAGGAAAAAAACACAAGAGTAATACTTGTAGCAAATTTAAGGGAAAATTTCACGTTTCGAAAAAACAGTGGCGTACTATTTTTATTCGGAAAAATAATGCCACTTACCACCTGTATCTGCGTCCTGTGTATGATGTTTCATTTTTGGTCACGACTCGTGAATCACCCTGTATAACCCGGGTATTTTTGTTGAAGATCGGTAACCAATGAGATAGAGAATGTTGGATTACCCGTACTCCCAACTTTTTTTCACTGTATAATGAAGAGACACCACAGACTCATGCTTCTCAATTATGGTCAGGTTTAAGAACGAACAGATGTATCCTCCATCTCAAATTATTTCACGTGATCCTTAGAGTCCTTTAACATACGCACACAAAACGTATAACTTACTTGATCCACTGGGCACCCATTTAACCCCGATCCACCAAAGGGCGAACATCGTCGAGTGATGATATACATGCAGGAACGTCAGTTGCCTATCTTTCTTCCTTAGTATGAAGAAGAACGTGTCGCAGAACTCCAGGAGTTTCGAGAAATAGTACCACCATACCGCATTCGCTATCTACAAAGAAGAAAATGGCCGAGTGATAACTTTGTCGAAGCGAATGCCTCATATCTAGAACACCTTTACCTAACTAAATTATGGAACGTAAAAGAGGTACTCCAAAACAGTACAGCAGTAGTACTTCGGGTCTTAGGAGACTTGAATCATAAAAGGTAATGGTCGAAGCACTTCGATTTTTGGTGCTTTCTTTGGGGTAAGGTACTTACTTGCAATTCGTCTGGATGGAGCCTTTGTCGGCAAGGCTCACATATGTAGCTATATCTAAGTCTTGTTGAAGCAGTGAAAAGCTGAAAATTGAAAAAAGAGTCAAAACTGGACACGCCTGGTATCGTATGATATACAGGATGTCCCAGTAGTCGACGACAAGCCTAATAGTTACACTGGACAACAAATTTTAGTTTTTGAATTGTATCTTGTGGGAAAAGTGCACTTCTTTGTTAATTTTGGGGCGCTGAATCCAAAAATGACAATGAAATAAAAAAATTAGTTGCGGTTTAGAAAAACAACTTTTTATTTTTAAGGATATATTAAAAAAAGTAACAAGATTCATATACTTATAAGAATCACTATATGCGCTGTCTTTTTGGTGTTCTTTTATGGATCGTTTCTGGAGCATCTCTACCAACAGTCCAACAGTAGTCTGCAAGCATGGAAGGATTCCACTTTCCCTGGTACCTTTTTTCCATTGTTGAAATATCCTGATGAAAACGTTCGCCGTGCTCATCACTTACGGCTCCGCAATTGTCAGGAAAAAAGTCCAGGTGTGAGTGTAGGAAATGTATCTTAAGAGTCTTTTGATACGATGACAGCATATTTTTGACAAGGGTTTTATAGTTGTCAGCTTTTCTATTTCCCAAGAAATTAGTGACCACCAGACGGAAATCATTCCAAGCAGTTTTTTCAATACCTGTTAAAGTGTTTTCAAACTGTGTATCTTTCAAAATATTCCGAGTCTGTGGCCCAACAAAAATACCTTCTTTAACCTTTGCCTCACTTAGTCTTGGACATTTCTGACGCAGGTATTGAAAAGCTGACCCATCTCTATCTAATGCCTTGACAAAGTTTTTCATTAGGCCCAACTTGATATGCAGTGGTGGTAATAAAATTTTTTTCGAATCTACTAATGGCATATGCTGTACATTTTTTTGACCTGGCTCTAGGAATTGGCGAACAGGCCAGTTTTGTCTGGTGTAATGAAGTGCCTTTGCCCGACTGTCCCATTCACACAAAAAACAGCAAAACTTTGTGTAGCCTAGCTGCAGCCCAAGTAAAAGTGCAACAACTTTCAAATCGCCACAAATATGCCAATTGGTGCTCATCGTATTTTATGCATGTCAATAGGTACTTCATATTATATGATTCTTTCATGTGAACTGCATACCCTACAGGAAGAGATGGTAAAATATTTCCAATATGCAATAACACTGCCTTTAAACTCAATGTTGAACTGTCTATAAACAATCTCCATTCTTCTGGGTTATAGTTTATATTTAAAGCCGCCAGTAAGCCGTTAATGTTACTGCAGAAAACCAAGTTATTCTCCATATTGAAAAATGGTTCTAAGTCTTTGTGGCGTTTACGAAAAACACATACCGAAACATCGTCTTCTAACAAGTTCCACTGCTGCAGTCTTGATCCAAGTAACTCTGCCTTACATTTTGGAAGTTCTAAATCTCGTACAAGATCATTTAATTGTGACTGTGGTATTTTGTGCGGTTGGTGGCATGACGTGCTCGGTATAAAATCAGGATCTCTTGACGTTGATGGCATATCTTCTTCCTGACGAATCACTCGATCGCCATGATCTGATTCGTTTCCTGATTCGCAAGTGTAGGATTCTGGGGGTTTTGGAATAGGATTTTCGTCACTGTGAGGCACAGGTCTCATCGCAGATGGTATGTTTGGGTAGTTAATAACCGATTTTTTTTTCTTGGACATACCTGTGGCTTGTCCAACACGAGGTACCATGCAAAAGTAACAATCATCAATATGATTTGTAGGCTCTCTCCAAACCATTGGGACAGCAAAGCGCATAGACCGTTTTTTGCCATTTAACCAGCTCCTCAGACTTGAAGCACATGTATTACAGCAGATGTGAGGTGCCCACTGTTTGTCTTGATCACCTAGTTTACAACCGAAATAAAGCTGATATGCCTTTGTTATTAGTGGAGTAATAGACCGTCTCTGAGACGCAAAAGTCACATCACCACACACGTAACAAAACTGATCTGGATTGTTTACACACTTTCGAGACATCTTGCATGAACGCTGTCAGCCAACTGAGGAAAAATGGCTAATATAAAACAATATAATGTACACGTATGTATAACGTAACACAATCATGCCGATTACATCATATTCCCTTGCCGAATATAAAAATGTAGCACGTGCATTCTTGTGAATTACAGTATATTAACACTGTCACAGCAGGAACACATATAATTACCGTATCTCTAAAACTTGAACTAGTATTGAAAAAATAAATTTCATTCCGGTTTTAGAACATTAAAAATAGTAATATTTTGTTGATTTTATTTAGGATATTTTTTGGCTGTTGATCAGTGTTATTAGTAACATTTAAAAAAACTTTGAAAAAAGGCTGCCGAGGCAGCCGAAACGTCAGAATACCAGTTCATTCAGCATCTCTGGTTTCATTTAGTGGCCAGTATGAGAGAGATCGTTAAGTTACAATAACTTAAAGCAATGTGCACCCTTGTATACTTTACCTATAACCTTCAAAATAAACATGACCTAGATTAGACCTTGAGAATCGAACTATCCAATGGTTGCCCTTAAATTGATTAACATAACACCTCCCAACACCTTCTTACAAGATAGTTAAATTAAATATTCTCTGAGTTTTTTAGTTTGAGAACTACATTCAATATTTTTGCAAATCGGACAAACTTCCCCGTATTTCTCAGAAACTAATTATAGGATTGCTTTGATCTCCTGAGAACTTTTGTTCAGGAATACAAGAAATACATCATACTGAATTTTGATACAAATCAACTCACACACATTTTTCACCTGTCTTGTGCGTGGTCCTTTTCATAACAGCCTTTTATAAGGTTTGTGGGAAATTGATGGGACGTGGGACACCCTGTAACTTATTTTGGAACTACATGTAAAAATAAATTCTTACCTGTACTGCAATGTACGCATTCAGCACGGCCATACTGAAGTTGTAGGGGATTAAGAGCGCTGTTAGCTGGAAGGGTTTTCGTTTAGCCATCACTTTTGGACCTAACCATACTATAAAAAGGTACACCATGGTGTATGCGACCATAGGTACAGGGGAGTCGACTAGGAGCCATCCCTTCGTTCTTTGATCTGGAAAAACGACATCGTCAAGTAGATTGACTCAGCACTTTTCACGTTAGTGTGACCTAGTATTTAGTTTTAAAACGTAAGGCAAGGCAAAGCAAAAACTATTTTAAAATTTTGTTAACCTCTGGGTGGTTTTGAAAAGTGCATGACAACATAGTGTTTCATATACTAAGTGACATATAAATCCGAACACCCAGTTTAAATGGTTTTATTTTAATAAAAGTTGGTAAATGTATTTATCTTACTGTAAATAACAAGTGAAAAAATTTTCAGCCTTATCAGTTGGACATTCCGGTTGTTATACTGCTTTTTTTTAATTCACTAATGCTCTAAAAATGAATATTTCAGCCGCAGTAAAGAATCAACGTTGGCGGATTTTGGTTCTTGACATCCTTTACGATCGGTTACGATGCCTAGAGTACGGAGACCTGTACGATTTCGACAACTTAGTGAGTTTGATAGGGGCCGTATAGTGGGACTTCAGGAAGCTGGACTTTCTTTTCCGGCAATTGCAGTTAGAGTGCAAAGAAGTGTAGACACTGTGGTTAGGTGTTGTCAGGCATGGCTTCGAGAAGGCCGTACGCAAAGAGCAAGGGGCACTGGACGCCGCCGTAGAACAACAGACCGTGAAGATCGCCGCCTAAGATTATTGGCGTTGAGGGACCGTTTTTCCACTACCAGGTCCATTGCAAATGAATGGCTTGCAGAATACGGAAGACCTATTGGCATGCGAAGTGTTTACCGACGAATGAGAAGTTTTGGCTTGTTTTCATACCGGCCACACTGGGTCCTCCCTTTAACTCGAGAACACCGACGTAATCGCCTTGAGTGGTGCAGACAACGGTCACTCTGGTATCAGGAATGGAACAGTATTGTCTTTAGTGACGAGTCTCGATTTTGTTTAGGCATGCACGATGGTCGTGCCAGGGTTAGAAGACAACGTGGTGAAAGGAGGAATCCACAGTTTTTTGTTGAAAGACATGTTCATCACACTGTTGGAGTTATGGTTTGGGGTGCTATAGCTTATGGTTCCAGGTCACCTTTAATCTTCATCAGAGGTAACATGAACGCGCAGCGTTATATCCACGAAGTTCTAGAACCCCATCTTTTACCCTATCTTGACACCCTGGCAGATCCAACTTTCCAACAAGATAATGCCTAACCACATCTTGCAAGAGTCACAATAGACTTCTTTCAACATAATGATGTCACATTGTTACCATGGCCACTAAGATCTCCCGACTTATCCCCAATTGAGCACGTGTGGGATATGATGGGTAGGAGATTGCTCAATTTGCAACGTCCTCCTCAGACTCTAGAAGCACTTCGAGAGGAGTTGGTGGTTGCCTGGAATCAGATACCACAGGAGGACATTGACCACCTGATCAGAAGCATGCCTAGGCGCGTTGGAGAATGCGTAGCGCATCGGGGTGCATCCACACATTATTAAAGGTCAAAGGGCTTTAAAGCAGTGCAATCATTTTGAATTTTTTATCATTTACTTATTATGTTTCATTAAGTACTTATACAAAATTTTATTAAAATAAAACCATTTAAACTGGGTGTTCGGATTTATATGTCACTTAGTATATTTCTTCCACGCGTAAGACCTTACATCGGTATAAAAAATATACAGAAAACAAATTTTCTTAGAGATGATTGAAAATGATAAAAATAATTTTTGTTATAAATTACGAGTATTTAGAGCAATTCCAGCACGAACAACAATGGAAGAAATAAAAAAGTGTTTGTATATCAGAAAATATCAGCGCATGAAATTTCATTAGATACTAGAAAAAGGCAGTTTTTTGAAAAATTCACCACCCTGAGTCTCAAAATTAAATGTGTTTACGATAAATATTCATATGAGACGTGGAAAATGACCCAAGAATCAGTCCTTTTGAATATTTTGCCTTATGGAATGCCCTGCATAAAGTCCATTTTCTATTCTTATAGCCAAGTCAATTTGGAGGTGAAAATAGGATGCCTTATTCAAAACTTATTTAATCTAAAACAGTGCATCACGATGAAATTACTATACTTTGTAAAAAGTTCAAAGTTGAAATATGAATTATTCGGAATTGAGACAAGTACGACGTGTTTTTGAAAAACGAGAAAGAATGTGCGATAGTTCAGTTAAAATCTTACCTGATAAAGATAAAGTCCATAAATAATAGTCGTAAGCCTTATTAACTAGATTTTGAGTCGAGTTTATCACATTGGCCATGTTTGTGTCTACCAGCCTACTCTACCGATAAAAATCTGAAACAAAAGAAAGCGAAAATAATTACATTGGAAATACCTCTTAAAAGTAAAAAGGATGGAAAATAGTGGAGAAAAAGTACAAGGTTTCATAAGTGTGATATATCAATCAACCTACAGGGGCCCCCAACCTACAGGGGCCCCCAACTTACAGGGGCCCCCAACGTACAGGGGCCCTGATGTCTCAAAGAAAAGATGGGTAGTGTCATACACAATCTCATGAAAGCAGAATAAGGTTAAACGTCAATTAGTTGACAGTTAGTTTTATTATTATTATTATTATTATTAAACAACAAATTTGAGTTGAGTACAAGTACTATAAACTCAAACACAAAAATAGATAATAGTGTACAGACAAAAGAAATATAACAATTTGACAATCTTAGCACTACTGAAGTAGACATATACAGAATGGGAACAATATGTTAAGCACTGCGGTGTCTATCGTGATTGTTTTTGAAACTGTTGACGGATTCCGAGTTCACTACATAAGATGGAAGACTGTTCCATGCATCGAAGACACGGTTTGAGATGAAGCGCTGACGAGTAGAGGTTCTAAAAGCTTCCTTCTGCAATTTGAAGTTATGGCCTCTGAGACTGTTCGTTGCCAGACGAAACAGATGCGACATGTCCACACCAAACAAATTATGCAGTGCTCTGAAAGTGATGATGAGATCTCCTCGTACTCTTCTATCAGCAAAAGCAGGCAGGTTATATAGCTCGAGGCGGTCTTCATAACTTGGCCTACGTGTGCCATATGGCATACGTGTTGCACGACGCTGAACGGCCTCTAATAAGCTGCTATCGCGAACAAGGTTTGAATCCCATACCGGACCAGCAAACTCCAGTAGGGGTCGTACGAAAGTTGTGTATAAAAAGGAGGAGGTACTAACGGTGCAACCGCTAAATGACCTTTCCATCATATATAGCAACCGCTTTGCCTTAGAGGTTATGTTCTGAATGTGCTCCGACCAGGTGAGCCGGCCATTAACTGTCAGACCAAGATCTGTGTGATGAAGAACAGACTCTAAGGTATGTTTGCCAATCTTATATGTTAAGTTAGGATTATTCTTTCCCAGGTGGAGAACGTAGCATTTCGATAGATTTAAAGGCAGGAGCCAGAGTTCTGACCACTTTCTGATCAGCTTGAGGTCTTCTTGAAGCACAGATGAGTTCATGACAGTGTTATAGACTTTAGTATCATCTGCATAGATGGAACACATAGAATAAAGTCGGGTGGGAAGGTCGCTTGTATAAAGAAGAAAAAGTATTGGCCCTAGCACAGATCCTTGTGGAACTCCACTAGTAACACGATGACTAGAAGAATAGGCGTCTCCAACACGGACGGAGAAAGATCTGTCTAACAAAAAAGCTTCAATCCATAACAACAAATTTCCCCTGATTCCGAGATGTTCAAGCTTGTGCAGGAGCCTTTTATGCGGAACTCGATCGAAAGCTCTGGAAAAATCCAGAAAAACCACGTCGACCGGTTCATTTGCGTCTAAAGATCTGGTCCAATTGTCAATGCAGTGTAACATGTTGGTGATAATTGATCTACCAGGAATAAAACCATGTTGGTTGCTAGGCAGCAGGTTGTTCTTGAACGCAAATGTCATAAGTTGTTCCTGGACGATCTTTTCGGCTATTTTCGCAGCTATAGGCACAAGACTGATAGGACGGTAGTTTTTCGCAGATGTTTTATCTCCTTTTTTGTATATAGGTGTCACAGATGCAGTACGCCAACAGGAAGGAAGGATGTGATTTTGAATCGAGGAGTTGAATATAATGCACAGGGGGTATGCGAGAGCTGAGGCACAGGACTTTATAACGGCAGAAGTAATCCCATCCTTTCCAGGGGACGAACAAGTTTTCAGTTTAGTAAGGTGCCTCTCAATGTCCTGAGGTTGAAAATCTATGCTACAGATGGTCGCTAGGCATCTATGAGGGCTGGATAAGTTCGGAAGAGTACCATCACCATCAGGTTCATTCACAAAGTCTTCACTGAAAGCATCGGCAAGAAGATTGGCAGATTTTTCGGCATCAGTATGTAGGTGGCCATTGGGATCACGGATTTGTGGGGAAGAAACCTTAGAGGTCAGGGTGGATCTCAAGTATCTAAACAACTTCTTCTTATCTTTCGATGATACAAGATTTTGCTCATAATTGCGCTTGGCGTTTTTCAAGTTCTTCGAAAGGATGTTAGAGAAAGATCGATGATATTGTCTGTTGAAACCTGAAACGTTTTTTAGCAATTGTGAATGCACGAAATTTAGTTTCATTTACCTGTTTTTTTTTTGTAAGTTTTATAAAAATGGCATTTTTATTCTCCAATCAAGAGTTAGCGGATATTCATTTTGTGTATGGCTTTGTAAATGGAAACGCAGCAGAAGCAGCCAGAGAATACGCACGAAGATTTCCAAACAGACGACATCCAACTCGCTCAGTATTTGTAAGAGTGCATCGCCAAATAATTGAAAATGGTTTTGGAAATCTCCAAAGGGATCAAAGCATAAATGTTCGTCAGCGCAGATTTACCCGTATGATTCTGCGTGAGTTTGATACAGATCCGACCACAAGTGTTAGGAGAGTTTCTGGTGCCTTGGGACTTTCAGCAAGCCATGTTCACCGTGTTCTTAGAAATGACTATAGACGTCCTTACCATTTGCAACCTGTGCAAAGACTACAGCCAGGGGACGGAGAACGAAGGGAGTTTTTAAGTAACGTTTTATGGACCGATGAGTCATGCTTCATTAGACGTGGAGTGGTAAATTTTCATAATCAACATATTTGGTCGCATGAAAATCCGCGTGCAGTTCGGGAAAAAAATTTTCAGCATGAATTTAGTGTGAACGTGTGGATTGGTATCTACCGCAATCGACTATTTGAACCCTACCTTTTGCCTGCAAGGTTAAATGCTGCGACCTTCTTGGAATTTTTAAAGGCTGAACATGCAAATATGTGGGATGATGTTATGTTAGATTTAAGAAGATTGGCCTGGTTCCAGCTTGATGGTTGTCCAGCTCATTATTCGAGAATAGTTAGAAACTGGCTGGACGAAAATTATCCAGAAAGATGGATCGGCCGTGGAGGACCAGTCGCCTGGCCTCCACGATCCCCTGACCTAAATCCATTAGATTTCTTTGTGTGGGGATTTCTAAAAGAAAAAGTGTACCAGACTCCCGTAACCACAAGAGATATGCTAATAGACAGAATCAGGAATGCATGTGATGAAATAAGGCCTTATTTGAATAATGTTATACCACGTTCGATCATTCGTAGATGTGAATTGTGTATTGAACAATTGGGTTTACATTTCGAGCAACTACTTTAGATTTTGTATATTTGTCCTAACTATTCAATAGCATTTTAGTTGTAAATAATTAATTTAATTTGTTAAAAATAATATTGGAAAATTAAACAAATTAATATCCTGTTTTTTGTGTTTATTTAGAGATAGGAATTATTGCTGTATTTAAAAACACAATCTAAACGATCATCTTAATTACTTGTAATGCCCAAATCGAAAATGTAAAAAAAAAAATATTATTTTCCCATAATTAAAAATGCATCGAACCATAAAAATCGAAATATCTCAAAAACGGCTAACTATAACGAAAACTCACAGGAAAGCTTTTTTATGTTAAAAGTGCGAAGAATCAGCTTTTTTATTCAAAAAGCAAAAAGTTGCACTAAGAAAAATTTTTCGGTCAATTTAATACACTACAGGTACAGTAGAGAGCGCCCTCTAGCGGCTACAGTAAAACTATGCCCATGGTTCGTTTTGTCGTACCAAAAAACCCTTGTATACCAATTTTCACTGTTATACATCAAATATTGTTCGAAGTATTTAAAAAAAACTATTTTAGAAAGTAAATTTAAACACCCTGTATTTCTGAAGCCACGCATTTTTCGACCCATGTTTATATAGACTTTATGCATTAATTTTAAAAGTTCTATCGAATCTTAAAGTTATGCAACAATAAACTGAAACACCCTGTATAACAAATGCAGCAGGTAAAAGAAGCTTTCCAAATTTCAAAGTTTTTAAATTATTAAAAAAAAAACTCGTTTCAAGTAGATTGACTCGGTACATCCCACACACATTTGAGTATCATTATTTTTATAAGTAACTCAAAAATAAGCCTTGCTAAATAATCAAAACTTTTGAGTTGCATAATATTCTTGACGACACTAACCCGAAATAATCCGAAACGACAAAAATTAATTTTTGACTTCTGCGCTTAAAAATAGTTATTTATTATACAAGGGAAAAAAGTACTACATATTTGTGATTTGATACAAAAATTGTGAATTTAGTGGTTATTTTTAATAAAAATGTCGGATTCCGAGTTTTCTTTGACTCCACCGTAATTAGTAGAAGTAGCCAAAATAGCGTCACAAAAATTATTGCCAGCTAAATCATTTATACAACATCCGGTAAAAAAGAACTCATCTTTTTCCCCGGGAAAAAAAGTAATTTCTTAAAAAGTGACATTTTGTTACCTGTCAACGGAGATAAAATGTCAAACTTTTTTCCCGTCACAGTAAAAATAAATTTATAGTCACGCCAAAAAATTTTCAGAAAGTTGTAAAACATAGACAACAAACTTTGTTAAAAATCTTAAACTATTTTGTTTTTTGCTCATAATACCTCTGAAAATCAATTGATTAAAAAATAGTAGCGCTAACTGCATGCTGCTTTCCAAATTCCATCAAATCGATGCAGCCGTTACCGAGATTACGAGACATAAATAACGCCAACACATAGGCGGACCGACAAACAGACCGATGGAGGTAAGCGATATGGATTTACGTATTGAAAACATAGCAAAACCTAAAACAATGTTATTTGAAATTTAAAAATTTTCGCGGTGACAGTACCTTCCTTCCTTGTGCGTGCGTAAACGAAAAGAAAAGCCCATTTCTGTTACTTGCTCGACAATTATAAAAATCAATATCTAGTCAATACGCGCCTATTCATTGAAATTTCATTTGCAATA